ATGAGATTTTATAAATATGATATTTGTCATGAAAACTTTAACCAGAATGGTGGTTAATAATATGTTACATTACTTAAATTGTTCAAGCATCAATAGAATAGAATTTCTTATCTTTAACTCATTCACAATCTGTATATGTTAATAATAGGATAATGTTTAAGTTCTACTTCTAGGTCACTTATATATATTTATGTATATTTGTAAAAATTGTAAAAAGTTCATTGCATAAATTTTAATGTAATTTACAGGTAACAGAAGACTGTTCTTAATAAATTATAATAGTAAATTACCCATTTTTCACCATCTTTGCTGCTAAACATTTATAGTTGATCTTTTTCTTTGGTCTCATCGAGGTTAAGTGGGGTCATTTACTAACACAACTATCAGTTTCTAATGCTTGAAACAATAACACCACATACAAATTAAACATTAAAAAGCAAGAACACTAAACCTGCAAAGGGTATGTTTTGACATTTTGGTATCATATTTTTAGCAAAATTGTTGTTATGATGTGTTTAATTTTGTATTCTTTATTTTTAAAAACACTTTAATGAAAATGTTACTGTAGTAAACTGGTATAAGATTGTAACATGAAATTAAAATTGCTAACTAAATCTATCAAATCCTTCTTAGTGTTTTACTACCAATGTCTGTATTCTAACATTATTAATTCCAATAAGACCGCTGTGTGTTGAATGCTGCGGTTAATTTGAGCCTCTTCTGATTATTTAATGCCTTAACATCCCAGGTAGTTGAGGTCAGTGTCAGACAACAAAGGCTTGCTTGGCATGTCATGTAAAGTTAACATTTGACTTTTATGACAGTATGAAAATTCTTCTGCAAATTATTAGTACATTTTTTTAAAAATATGTTCATTGTTATACTTATTCAACTTCATTTAAAAGCAAAAAGAAATGTAGTGTCTTTCTAATTCTAATTATGGGTACTGTAAACCATTTGAAAAAATTTATATGAATATATTCAATAGCACATTTTACACCACCTTGTCGCACCCTACATACACATATTAATATGACTTCCAACACAATTAAATTTTGATTTAATACAATTGTTGAAAATATGCAGATGTATTAACAGAGAAATTAGATATTTTTACTTTTCCTCAGCCTATAGGCTATTATATTTTCCAAGACCACTACCACACATTATAACAATAATGTTATTTGTTTTGCTAGGCCTTTAACATAGGATCCATTATTGTAAAAAACATTTGGGCCTCGTATAGACTTATATATATATATATATATATATATATATATATATATATATATATATATATATATATATATATATAAAATATATAGCAAGTATTAGGCCTCTATATAAATATATACTAGCCGGCTCAGCCAGGCACTGCACTGGCCTCTGTGAAAAACCTACCTGTAAAGAACCATGACTTGTGTGTTTAGTAATCAGCATATAGGGTACCCGGCTTTGCCCGGGTTTAGGAAATATATTACTTTTCTAATTAACCCGAACCGACCACAAACGAAATTGCAAACATAACACAAATAAAAACACAAACGAAAACAAAAAAGTAAACGAAAACTAATCCAAATGCAAACAAAAACGCAAACCCAAACACAAAGAAAACACAATCGCAAACAAAAAAGCAAATACAAATAGAAATACTAAAGCAAACCATAACTCAAATAATTCAAATAAACTTCAACATAAATACAATCTTAAATCCAAACATAAACGCAAAGTGCTTACAGTCTAGCTTGGGGCAACGCTGGAACCGCTTGATTAAACTTAGTAAATGACTATAGTACCCTAACTTATTCATAGTCTTTTAGCACCCACTTAAACGAACGTAGGGGACATAGCGAACACGGTAAGGCCTGGGGCGCCAAATAGCACCCTGTCGGGGCACTAGATGGCGCCCTTATTCGATTCAGTTAAAGACTTAAGTAACCTTTCTTATCCATTGTCAATTGCACTGTTTAAAACGAAATTATGCACCATAGCTCTCACATGGGAGCCCAGAGCGCTAAACCGAACCCTGTCGGGGCGCTTGCGGACGTGCCTTATTCAAATTAGAGAACGACTATGATACCTCAAGCTTATCCGCAAACAGAAAGATAGAAGTAAACATAGAGTACATTTAGGAGCGGCTTCTAAACTGTTATTGATTACAAATAGTATTTAGTAAACAGTACGTTCAGTGTATACAATAAATTGAAGGCAGTATTTAAAATGTGTTTTACTTATCATATTGCACTTTATCAATCTCCGCTAATTATGTAATTATTTTTTTTCCCAACACCAAAACACGGTAATAAAAAGTTTTGTTTTTCCCGCGATGTAAGGTTTTTTTTAAAGGGAAGTAATTGTGTTTTCCTGATTTATCATGAGGCGTTATTAGTGCTAGATAACTAAGTTTGGAAAATGAAATTTGTTTTAGAACACCTTCAATATTAATTTTGTAACCAAATAAGTTTAGATTATAAGCACTTTAGATATATTACATTAGGGCGATCAAGTCTATATTCTTTTACTAAATTGAATCAGGCGCGTCCGCCGGCAAACAGCAGGGTGCGATTTGGCGACCTACGCTATCCCGTGAGCACTATGGCGCCTAAGTTAGTTTTAAGAAGAACCCTACATTATTGACAAGGCGGCACACGACATTTGATAATTAAACCGAGCCTGGTTCCGTACGCCGCGCCCCTATAGAAGTGTAGTCGGGGGCTCACGAGGTCGCCACTCCACGTCTCCGATGCTTAGGCGGTGAGTGATTAACTGTGATACTACGGTGAGTGATTAGCATACACTCAATGCTTTTATATGCTGGGCAGTAGTGTAGACAAAGCCGTGCCCCGATAAATATGATCCTAGCGCAGGAGTTGTTTACAATTAAATAACAGTTTTAGAAAACAAGGCCATTCGTCTAACTCTAAGACGATGGTAAACCAATGATTTAGACTTTATTTGCCTTTTATGCATTACTACACCTTTCATCCGATTGCCATGAAACTTTGGAATGTTGCTGAGAATACTCCAAGGAAAACAAAATTTTGCACGGGTGACGACCCGGCAGGGTGCAATTTGGCGACCCGTGGTATCCCGTGAGCACTATGTGCGATAGAGAATGGATAAGATGGGGCATTATAGTATATATATATATATATATATATATATATATATATATATATATATATAGCCTATATATATATATATATATATATATATATATATATATATATATATATATATATATATATATATATTATATACAAGAGTTACAATGCGAATTAATAAAAGGTAAAAACCTATTTTTTTATTCTTAATTGGCTGAAGAGTATATTTAAAAACTTTATTTAGATCTAGATCTATTTAATACTATTTATCTTTATCATCTAGATTCTAGTCTTGTAACAAGAAAGATTGAATACTGAATAAGTAGGTCTAGGTCTAGAGATCTACGGGTTTGTTTGATTATTAAAATTATATATATATATATAGAATCTATATTTTGGTAAAATCACGATATAGCGTCGGTTATTATTCCGGAACTGTACAGCAGTAAAAAACAGTAAAACCATGGCGTAGTCTGTCGAGCCGTTCCGGAAACCACCGGAAATACTGTAAACCATCATTTATTTGCCGCCATATTATTTTTAATACATAATGTTGAAAAATGTGCAAGGATTGACTTTAGTTGCAATTTAAATACTGTTTTGCTAATTATTTTGTATTTCTAATTATTTTAAGTGTATGTGCTAATTATTGCTGCTACTAAACATTATTCTAGATCTAGTTATTCTTACTACTTTTAACTTTAGAAAATCTAATCGTCTTATTTACTAACAGAACTAGAGCTGGTTGTCGCAAATCTTCTGCAGGTTTTTTCTGTTTCTTAAAAAAAAATCATTAATTACTACACTCGACTTTATTAATAATATTTAGATTTACTAGATCTAGAATCTAATTGTTGCTAATTTTTTGTCAGTTAAACATTAAATTAAGTTAAAACATTAATTTAATGCACTTGACTTTATTTTTCTTTCAACGGTCAAATAAACTATGGTTTACAGTAACGAATGTTACCGAAACTCAACGAACATTACCCAATAATTTCCGACGCTATATCGTGATTTTACCCTATATTTTTATCTCACGGCCCAGCGCCTCGAAGCAATTTACAAAGATGGCGGCTCGGTTTCGTTTTCATTAGGACTTAGAATTAGATCTTACATCTTAGATTAGAATCTTAGTATAAGACAAAATAGTAAAGTAAGTTAGCAGAGAGGGATACACAATAAACAGTGATTTTGAACCCATCTTCAATTTTAGTAATAGAAAATAGGGATGATTATAGATACCAGTGTCCGATAATGGAATCTTCTTTTAAAAAGGGGTGTTGGGTTGTTAGTAGTATTGTAATCTCGACTAATTTTATGGTTAGAAATTAGGGTTAGGCGTATGGTTGGACCAGGGTTGGGGTTAGGGACAGGGTTAGCATTGACAATAGCCAGCCATGTGTGTATTTAGTTAACTACCAGTAACCTAACACCCCTTTTTAAAAGAAGATTCCATTATCAGACACCGGTGTAAACATTCTCCCGAAAATAGTAAATACCCGTTTCTTATTATAGGCCTATAGGCTAGCAAATAGAAATACGGTAATCTATCGTTTTGGGTACGTAAAATCGCACGCGGCTATTAATGTACGAAAACGTTACCTCATTGTCAAGGCTTTAATAGAGGTGTATTGTGATATGTTTGTGTCAAATATTATAGATAAATGGATAATAAACCTAAATCAATGGCTAAATATATCAAATAGGCCAGAAATTAACTTTAAACAGCAGTGTCTGCGAGCAAGATTTGCTATATAAACAGCAGACGTGTAAAATAGAGTGGCTTCCCCCTGAATCTTATAAAAATAAAACTTAAACAAGATGGCTGCTATAGTAGTGCTATAGTAAATGAGCTTGGTTGCATCTGTTGGAAACATCGCTAGTCTTCATTTATTAATGAAAAGTTTTAATTCAATTGTTTAAAAACAGATACATAAATGAAACAAGGAAACATTTTTGTATTTTAAAAAACCTAAATCCTCCTCAAAATGTGAAATAATTATTAAAATTTAAGGAGTCACCTGTTTTTCACATTACAAGTCGCGGGCGATTTTACGTACCTAAAACGATAGATTACCAGAAATACTAATTAAGCCTGGCTAATCTATCGTTTTATTTTAGTTTTAGGTAGATCTATGTAAAATCAGTAGAGGCTAACACGGAGGCTAATTGAAAGGATGCTCGTAACTTGGTTATGTCATGTAACATATTTACTATTTTTTTAATATAGGCTAATGAATGATCCAAAAATCATCACGTTTTAAATGTTTAAGAATATATAATATAGATCTAGATCTAAATTTTTAAAAGTTATTCATATGCATGTTTATTTCAGTTTTGATTAGGCTTAATTAGTGTGTTTTAGCAATGTTTAATTAGGGTAATTTATAAATGATAGCAATGTCATTGTAAAATGAATCTAACCCTCCTCCCTTACTGGACTTGAAACCTGTGTGTTATTCACAAAGCTTTGTCCATGCTGAGTTTAAAATATTAAGATTTGTATCTATTTTTTTTTAAACAGTAATCGCATTAAAATTGATCAAGTTAATGAGAAATGCATTCTAAACAGCATCACTGGCAGTGCGCATGACAGGCATCTCGCTTGCGTAGTGACAGACAGATGCTCACTCAAGTAGTTTTGTCAATCAGAAAAGTTAACCTATCAAATACAATTCATCAGGCCTATAAAATTAAGAGGCCTATCACATTAAAATGATCGCCTGTGACCGAAAGATATAGGCAAATTACAAACATTGCAGCCCACCTGTGTTCTTTTGTAAACCGGTGAGAGAAAACTCACAGTATGAGCGTGTTCTAAATCAAGTCCAAGTACTTTGTTAGCCCAAGTTCTAATTAATAATTCTAATTACTAAGTACTAATTAGTAATGTAAGCCTAGACCCAACACTAAAATCATTTAATTTTTCAGTATATGAACAAAGAACAGTGAGAATAATATTATATTAGACTAATTAAAATCTATGAAATCAATAAGAATTAACAAAAATTAATTATAACACATTTGAAAACAACAAATAATTAGGCATAAATATTTGTAAATAAGCACACAAAGGCCAACTCGCAATAATTTCAGGGATTAACACAGATTAAAAAACAAAATAATCGATCGTTGTGGTTTAGGGGCTTTTAGAGTCATAGTATAATCCAAAAGCCAGGTGAAAGATCCATAATGAGACTTAATTAGCCTAATTACGCTAGCAAAATAGGTAAAAAAAAAGTGTCAAGTAAAAAGAAAACGTATGTAAGCAGTGACAGAGGATACTGCTATACAGCTTCCGTAACAATAGCAATGACGTCACGCACAAAAAAAATATTGTTTTCTTGACATATCAATAGCAATGACTTCACTCACAAAAAAAATATTGTTTACGTGACATGTGGGTGATTTTTTTTTCTCAAAATGAGTACAGAATATTTACAATTTTAATTCAGAAACAGATCAATCTAATAATACCCTACCTAACAGTGCAAGTTTGGAACCTTACAGATCGATATTTTAAGTTTTTAAGCAACTTAAAACTTTACCCAAGTTTATGTTTGACCTTCAATGTTGGAAGCTAATTAAATTTTTTTCTGGCAAAAATGGCTTTGTCATCTTCAGGTAGCATAAAAATACGCTTAAAATCTGCCATTTTTCATGTGATAATCATTTTTTTAAAACCAAATTCTAAGAAAGTCACTTTCCTGCTAAGCAAAATTTTCAAAAAATGTGTCTGGTTTTGGGTCTGCAAACAAAATATGTAGGCCTGCTATAATATTTTTTTTACACGATCTATCTATAGTTGTTTTTTAACAGTTGTAAAGGTCCTTGAAATTTAAAAAAAACCTTGAAATGCAGTGTTTGTGAAAATTGCTGCTGTCACTGCACTCATCCTATTTTCTCCTCCCACCACTTGTAAAAAAAAATCAGCTATTTGCTTTAGGGGGAGGTGGGGCGCTAGATTTTTGACATCAGTATTAGCATAGTTCCTTCTGAAATCTTCTTCTTCATAATGAAATATATGTGTCACCTGGTTATGTGCCATTGAAGCCATTGACTCTGATTTCTTCCTGCTTTTCTTTTTGGATTCGCTTCCATAGCTTTTGTCCACCCAAGTACAAACTACAAGGCAGAAGTTGTTTGATTTTGGAGTTGTTTCTCCTAGAAGAGTGGCTGCCCTCTGCTAACGAGCCTCATCTGCCCGAGTGTTCAAACTTGAGACATATCGGTTTAGCAACCATGAGCTTTACCGACTCGACCACACCAACCCCACTTCTGAAGTGATTTCTTAGTAAAAATAACGTTTCTGTAATCCTGCAATGTGTACTTACGAATTTCCACAATATTTTTTTTTACGTCAGCGCGCATATCAAGGTGGGGGACATTGGTGGTGAAATGGTGCAACATAAGGTTTTAGATTTTGGATTTTGATGTGGAAATTAGCCATATACCTGGGTATATTGTAAAAGCAGGCATACGACAGTGTACATTTGTGTTGTAGGCCTACCACTTGTTATAGTTCAGGCCTACTAAAAAAATTTCTTAGATATTTCTACACATTTCTATATTACCAACAGTAGAAAAAGTGACCACTGCCACTATAAACAGAGTTGTTTGTATTGTGGTTTACATGCATGGGGTAGGTCTAGAAATTGTACTAACATTTTAAACTAATTATGTTGTATTATATATTGGATATATATATATATATATATATATATATATATATATATATATATATATATATATATATATATATATATATATATATATATATATATATATATATATATATATATATATATATATTGGATATATTTTTTAATAGACTGATAAACCTAATAGTTCTTCAATCTTCAATTAATTTTTCTACTTCCCGGGCTAATATTTTTTAAGTTCTATCATTTTTAATGGTACCAACTTTTAAATATACCTTCCTTCTCCAAAGCAAATTTTAAAATGTTTTTCTGGCATATTTTGCCCTGCCACCTATAGCTTGTTTGTATAACATGAAAAACCCACATTTTTGCTCTTGGTAAACGTTTTAAAAACTAATTGTAAGAAGGTCACTGGAGCTAAGATGAAAAATCTTTGAAAGTCATGCATCTGGTGTGGACATCATATTGATGTTAGCAACGATCCACACCTCCAAGGTAGCGAGTAATACTAATATTTTTGTGTCAAATATAATAGTAATAGATAATTGAATAATAAACCAAAATCAATGTCCAAATATATCAATATAAGCCAGAAATTAACTTTAAACAGCCTAGTTTGCGAGCAAGATTTGCTATATAAACAACGGCCAACTGTAAATTAGGGTAGTTTCCCTTGAATCTCTAGCTTAAATGTTACCAAAAAACTTTAACAAGATGGCTGCTTTAGTAAATGAGCTTGGTTGCATCAAGTGAAAACATCGTTAATCTTTATTTATTACTGAAAAGTTTTACTACTGATGTTTTAAAACAGGCACATCAAAAGTTTGTAACATTTTTGTAGCTCTCAAAATGTGAATCCTTCTAAAAATGCCAACTAATTACAAAAATTTGATACGTCACCCTTTTTTTACTTTCTCGTATACAGGGTATAGAGAAAGTATTCTGATAGTGCACAAAAATCACATGAAATTTTGACGGTTTTCACCGTTTTTCACCTCAGTTCTTATCTGGAGTATAGAAGACTTATTTTAATCAGGCAAAAATTATAAACCCACATTTATCAAATTTTTGACGTTTTATGCATAATCGAGTCTGAAAAACTGGGCTTTGCAATTCTTTCAGTGTATGTGTGTCTGTGAACACGATAACTTGAGTACAGTTACAGCTATGTTGATAAAATTTCATATATAAGCATTATATCAAATTTCTAGTTCTGTATCAACTTTTCAGCAATTTCTGATTAACCGGAAGTGGAACTAATTCTACTTTAAATTTTTCAAAAGCCTATAACTTGAGTTCTGTTTTAGATAGCCAAATGAAATTTCATATGTAAGTAAAAGATCTAATTTTCCACCTTCTTTCAAATTTAGAGTATTTTCCGTTGACCAGAAGTAGTAATGGACGCTATTTCTAATTTCTCAAAAATGCTTGTGAATATATAAAGTACTAATAATATTCCGCACTATTATACACATTTTGTTTCGCATTTCTTTGGTGTGCAATTCTTTTTTTCTACAAGATTCTATTCTATTTTTAAAAGTTTAAGTACTTAAACATGGATTTAAAAATCATGTCTATATATAGTATATCCTGAGTTGCCAATCCGCCGTAGTGTTATATAAGAATATTCGAGAAAGCTTAGGGGAGATAACTACTGGCTTTTTAACATTACTAGCCTCTGTAGATTTTATGTACATAAAATCATAGATTACCTTAGTCTGTTAATTAAGAATAGTAAGGTGTACTTTTGACCTAATTTCTTTATTTATCTCGCAAGCGACACTTTAGTGAAAGTAGAGGGGTCGGCGTGGTCGAGTCGGTAAAGCTCATGGTTGCTAAACGGAAAAGTCACGAGTTCGAACCCTCGGGCAGATGAGGCTCGTTAGCTGGGGACAGCCACTCTTCTAGGAGAGACAACTCCAAAATTAAACAACTGCTGCCTTGTAGTTTGTTCTTGGTTGGACAAAGGCTATGGAAGCAAATCCAAAAAGAAAAGCAGGCTGAAATCGGAGTCAATGGCCTCAATGGCGCATAACCAATTGACACGTAACGCTTAATTGTGTTGGAGGCGTGGTCGAGTCGGCAAAAAGCTCATGGTTGATAAATTCGAACAAAGTCTCGATTTCAAACCCACTGGCAGATAAATCTCGATCACCTTCAACACTAATAATTAAGAACGAAGAAGAAGAAGAAGTGAAAGTAGCTTTGTTTTAAAATGAACTTATATTCAAATAAACTTCTAAACTATGATTCTAATGTTATGCTGTGTATGATTAAACAACGGTTTGGGAATAATTCTCATGTCCTTAGGTGTGGTCACTATGCCAGTCATATACCCCCCCTCTCCATTAATGCCAATTAATTATAATCTTGTGAAAAACAAGGCGCGTTTAGATGTGTGCTGCGCCCAAAGCCAATCATTTGGCCAGATTTATTATTTGTCATGTGGCCCCATATTTTAAAAACATAAAGCGTTGCGCTTTCCTCATTGATGATTGTTTTTTTTTTCATTTTTTAAAGTGAAAATATGAATTGTTATGATTGCAGTTTTTGTAACATGGTATACTTACTTTCTGTCAATTTAAAAAGCATGGCATGTTAATTTTGTACAAATATTGTATAAAACAAAAAAAAAATTTAAGTTTGATTTTATTTTCTACCATAATCCGCCACCCTCAGGCATATACAATACATTAATTATTTTATTTTTAAAATTGTTTATTGATTGTATTAACTTTAAGCTATCTAAATTCATTTCTAAGATATTTTAATATGCTTCTGAGAAGTTTTATTGAAAAAACTTTATTTTGACTATAGTCACTAGATCTGTATAATCACCACTTTAACATTTAAATATCTAATCCTCAGTTCATTTATAAGAAGCAGCATGGGAGAGGCAACTGCTGATTTAGATTTACAGTCTGATGAGTTTAAAGAATTTTCAAATTCTGAAGATGTGAAGCCACTTCTATCTACAGTATTTTCATCTTCTTCTGACATAAAAACAGAATTATCATTTTTAACTTTCCGTGATATCAAACCAAACTTGACATTTATAGCTTCACAGGATGATAAAACCGTTGTTACGCCAGATTTTTCATCTTCTACAGACACAAAGTCAGAATGTACAACATTTTCCTCTTTTGATGATGTAAAACACCATATGACATTTCTAACTTCTCAAGATAAAACAACAGGATTTTTAATTTTTAAAGATATGGAACCTGCTGTATCAGCAGTATGTACAAGATCTGAAGATATAAAACCAGAATTAGAAACTTTATCAACCAACACAGAATTAGAAATTTTATCAACTACTGAAGATATAAATCCAGAATTACAAAATATATCAACTAGTGAAGATCTAAAACGAGAATTAGAAACTTTATCAACTAGCGAAGATATATTCCCAGAATTAGAAACTTTATCAACCAACAAAAATTTGAAACCAGATTTATGGACAAAATTTTTAGATTCTGAGGACAAACAACAAAATGGACTTGAAGAAAAGCTAAAACTCTCTGAAGATGAAACATATCTCTCTGTTGATCCTCATGATCATCATGAACAGTTTTTTCAAAGATCTAACTTGAATAAACAAGCTCAAGTAGAGGAGAAGCCACTTGAATGTGATGCTTGCCATAAAAGGTTTTCAGATAGTTCTAGGTTAAATGAACATAAAAAAGTTCATTCAGGAGATAGGCCATATGAATGTGATTATTGTCATAAAAAGTTTTCTAATAGTTCTGCTCTAAGCAGCCACAAAAAAATACATTTACTAGTTAGACAGTATGAATGTGATGTTTGTCACAAAAGGTTTTCAAGGAATTCTTATTTAGCGAAACACAAAAAAGTTCATTCAGGAGATAAGCCTCATGAATGTGATGTTTGTCACAAAAGGTTTTTAAGGAATTATGGTTTAGCGGAACACAAAAGAGTTCATTCAGGAGATAAACCATTTGAATGTGATGTTTGTCATAAAAAGTTTTCTCAGAGTTATAATTTATATGCACACAAAAGAGTTCATTCAGGAGATAAACCATTTAAATGTGATGTTTGTCAAAAAAAGTTTTCTCAGCGTTCTAATTTATATGCACACAAACAAGTTCATTCAGAAGATAAACCATTTGAATGTGATGTTTGTCATAAAAAGTTTTCATATAGTTCTGCTCTAAGCAACCACAAAAAAATACATTTACTAGTTAGACAGTATGAATGTGATGTTTGTCACAAAAGGTTTTCAAGGAATTCTGGTTTAGCGAAACACAAAAAAGTTCATTCAGGATATAAGCCTCATGAATGTGATGTTTGTCATAAAAAGTTTTCTCAGAGTTCTAGTTTATATGCACACAAAAGAGTTCATTCAGGAGATAAACCATTTGAATGTGATGTTTGTCAAAAAAAGTTTTCTCAGAGTTCTAGTTTATATACACACAAAAGAGTTCATTCAGAAGATAAACCATTTGAATGTGATGTTTGTCATAAAAAGTTTTCATATAGTTCTAGTTTATATACACACAAACAAGTTCATTCAGAAGATAAACCTTTTGAATGTGATGTTTGTCATAAAAAGTTTTCATATAGTACTACTTTATATGCACACAAACATGTTCATTCAGAAGATAAACAATTTGAATGTGATGTTTGTCATAAAAAGTTTTCTCAGAGTTCTAGCTTATATAGACACAAAAGAGTTCATTCAGAATATAAACCATTTGAATGTGATGTTTGTCATAAAAAGTTTTCACATAGTGCTAATTTATATGCACACAAACAAGTTCATTCAGAAGATAAACAATTTGAATGTGATGTTTGTCATAAAAAGTTTTCTCAGAGTTCTAGTTTATATACACACAAAAGAGTTCATCCAGAAGATAAACAATTTGAATGTGATGTTTGTCATAAAAAGTTTTCTCAGAGTTCTAGTTTATATAAACACAAAAGAGTTCATTCAGAAGATAAACCATTTGAATGTAAGGTTTGTCATATAAAGTTTTCACATAGTGCTATTTTATATATACACAAACAAGTTCATTCAGAAGATAAACAATTTGAATGTGATGTTTGTCATATAAAGTTTTCACATAGTGCTATTTTATATATACACAAACAAGTTCATTCAGAAGATAAACAATTTGAATGTGATGTTTGTCATAAAAAGTTTTCTCAGAGTTCTAGTTTATATAGACACAAAAGAGTTCATCCAGAATATAAACCATTTGAATGTGATGTTTGTCATAAAAAGTTTTCACATAGTGCTAATTTATATGCACACAAACACGTTCATTCAGAAGATAAACAATTTGAATGTGATGTTTGTCATAAAAAGTTTTCTCAGAGTTCTAGTTTATATACACACAAAAGAGTTCATTCAGAAGATAAACCATTTGAATGTAATTATTGCCATAAATATTTTTCTAGAAAAAATAAAACGGTTCATACTGGAGATAAGCCAGATGAATGTGATGATTGCCATAAATATGTTTCTAAAATAAAGCGGCTCCCGACATATTGGCTCCCGATATAAGTGCTCAAGACAAATGGGCTTCCGACAAATCGGCTCACGACATATTGGCTACCGACAATTGGGCTCCCGACATATTGGCTTTTGACAAAATGACTCCCGACATATTGGCTCCAGACCAATGAATGGCATGACCACTATTGGCATAAAAGTAACGATTTTGTCCTACCTCCAATACCACTATATACTCTTTTAAATGCCCGAATGAAATTGTTTTTCATGAACCAACATTAATTCACAAACACAGCGAGCCCTTAACAGATAAATTTCACCAATTCTAAAGTTTTGATAATGTTTAATTTACAACAGAAAAGATCTGTTGCTTAAAAGCGTGCACAGAAGTGTAAATGTACGATATATGTATATTTATGTATATATATATGTATATTTATGTGTATATATATGTGTATATATATGTGTATATATATGTTGGCAGGTATCCTAATGTTGGCTGGTTATTGAATAGTTGTCACAGGTTGCTTGTTTTTTGTGTGTAGTTATATTCTTGGTTGGTCGTAGCTGGATCGGGGTAATGTTCTCCCCTCCCCTTCTCTCAAGACACCGCCCGGTTCTCACGGCACTGGGTTCTGGCAGGGTGTGACGGTGTCACGGATAATTTACGACCGTAAGGTCGCGACGGTCAGTTCTTGTCAAACAGGTGGTCGGAAAGTATGGGAAAAAGTTTGTTTGGATTCAGCCTATTTAAGAGGACTGTGTTCAGACCTCTGTCTCTTACACACCAAGCTAGGGCTATAGACCAGTCTAGGCCTTATGATGGCCGCAGAGGCTGGTTTAGTGGCCCAGCTGAGGTATTGTTGATATGGCCTGGTGTTTACACCAGCGGCCCAACACCTTGTTCCAGTGGCCCGATATTATGCTCCTGGCCTGATGTCTCCTTCTTGTGGCCCGATATTATGCTCGTGGCCTGATGTCTCGTTCTTGTGGCCCGATATTATGCTCGTGGCCTGATGTCTCGTTCTTGTGGCCCGATATTATGCTCGTTGCCTGATGTCTCGTTCTTGTGGCCCGATATTATGCTCGTTGCCTGATGTCTCGATCCAGTGGCCAAATGTCTCGCTCTGGGGCCAGATGTTTGTTTTGGAGGACGGATATGTTGTCCTTGTGGCTGGGGAATCGCCCTGCCTTTTGTGTGTGACGAACTGGGTCGTGTAAGGAACTCGTATACATTCATGAAAGGATAAAATTGTGGTTGTATCTAAAAATGTAAGTGATTTATTTTTTTAAATTTTTACATGTATTAAGAATTCGAGGGATGTTTCTTTTATTATGAAAACCGGCCAGGTCTTTTTTGTATCCTTTTGTTTTTTTTTTTGCTTGTAAAATACATTTTTGTGAAGTAGGATGAAGTTAAATAAATGCATTAACTGGGTGTTTACCAAGTTTTATTTTTAGTGTAAAATTAATGTTGTATTTGTTTAGATGTTAATTAGTTTTGCTCAGGTCTATTAGACTCCTTTGTCACCACGCAAAGGTGCACGGATTTGAGAGAATAATGGTCAATACCATCTTACCATGTATTAAGAATTCGAGGGATGTTTCCTTGATTATGAAAACTGGCCAGGCCTTATTTGTATCCTTTTGTTTTTTGCTTGTAAAATACATTTTTTGTGAAGTAGGATGAAGTTAAATAAATGCATTAACTGTGTGTTTACCAAGTTTTATTTTTAGTGTAAAATTAATGTTGTATTTGTTTAGATGTTAATTAGTTTTGCTCAGGTCTATTAGACTCCTTTGTCACCACGCAAAGGTGCACGGATTTGAGAGAATAATGGTCAATACCATCGTACTGTGATGACGCAAAATTACGTCAGACATGTTTAGCAGATATAGGTTAGCAGAAACAGACTATAGGCCTAGTTGGTTGGTTGGAGAGGCCAATGGGAATACGGCAAATGACCGGTCACGTGAGACGGTCAGCTGACCACTGAAGCGTGGGCTGCTGTTAGGCCGGCAGTGGATAGGTAGCTAGCGAGGAGAGAAGGTGTTAGGTTGTAGAATGGAGCAGACGTAGTGATGTAGAGAACAGAAAGTTAGTGTTAGGATTGGTCATGGGAGTGCGTAGTTAGTAGTATAGTGAACAGTTAGCAGTAGTAGTAGTAGTAAACAGTAGAGAGTATAGAATAGGCTAGTAGGAAGAACTTGATTCTATAATTTTAATAAAGAACATTTTTCATTTCTATACTTGAACTTGTGTTATTGGATTCATTCGTTCCGCCTTCTTAAAAATCCCCACCCTCACATCTGGCGGAGCTCGGGACGAACCGCGGATCGAGGACGGGAAAGAAAGTATATCGGTTTACTCATGACGGAGTACGACTTGTGTATTGCTTTCTCTAACTCATCACAAAGCGGACTTCTTCAACCGGAACGAGTGGATTACCAACACAAGGGAAAAGTCAACGTGTCCAAAAAGATAAGTACCTTCCAAAAAATTTTTTTTAAACGTTTGGGTTTAGACTCGTGCTGGATATTTTGTACCAGCGGGTTTCCTGTCTTTTGTTTCTTCGTTACACTTACATCCTGTTGCCTTAGTTGTTTTTTTTAACTTCCTCAACACTACACACAAATACACCATGGAAGCAGAATTAGAATTATATAAACAGGGTATGGCAATGAACAAAAAGGGCGAAGAGCTAGACGCATGGGTAGATGGTAGGTTAGAACAACGGCTAGAAAGAGAGGCTAGAATAAAGGCAAAAGAGGCAAAAACATTAGCAGAGGCAGACCTGGAAAGGAAAAAATTAGAAGCAGAAACAGCCAGGATTAAAATAGAATCGGACAAAGCAATAGAACTAGAAAAACTGAGAATACAGCATGAATCAATAACAAACAACCAAAACAACACTATTCCTGCTCCAGTAAAACAAGAACAAACCAACACCCATAAGAGCATGCTTTTCAAACTGCCAAAATTTCAAGATGATAGAGATAGCATAGACGCATACATTCGCAGGTTTGAAACTATAGCAAAAGGAGAAAACACACCAGAACACCTCATGAGCACACACTTACTCACCCAATTAGGAGGTAAAAGGATTAGACGCTTGCCACACGCTCATCGAAGACGAAATAAAAGACTACAAAACACTCAAGCAAACACTCCTGGAATTCTATAATTTAACAGAAGAAAACTACAGAAATAAATTTCACAAATTACAGCCAAACAAAGAGGAAGACTTCAGAGTTTTTTCAAACGAAATTAAGCTTACATTAGACAAATGGATAGAATCATCAGGCATCAACAAAACTTACGAAGACCTCCTACAATTCATACTTATAGACAAAGTACTAAACAGTGTACACGCAGATCTATTTGCATTCCTACAGGAAAGGAAACCCAGAGACATGAAAACAATAACTGATCTATCCCAAAAATACATTGCTGCCCACCCCACAAAACCAATTAGCAAACGAACCGATTCAGAAATAGTACCAGTCTACGTAGCCAACATAAACGATGGGGTCAGAAGCCGTACCCGCAGTGCTAACAACAATCGCCCACACTCAAGTAGACCAGAGCAACGCCCACTGCCAAGAAATAACCTTTACCAGATACCAAACAGAGAACCTCGATGTTATAGATGCAATCAAGTTGGTCATATGGAAAGAAACTGCACGCAAAACACGAACTACAGGACCAACAACGCCAACTACACATACAACGGACCAAGAAACAACAGATATAACACACATGCAGCATTTATAGCCTCCCAAACGAAAAACAATAGACTCAATACATTACAGGCAAGAATTAACAAAACACCAGCGTACGCAATGAGAGACACAGGTTGTTCGGCCGTTGCAGTACGCAACACATTCGTACAACAGCATCAATAAACAGGCAGATCACAAAGAATACAAAGTTTTGGAGGTGCGATACAAACATGGCCTACAGCTATTGTTACTATAGAAACACCAACAGCATACAAAACAGTTGAAGCTGTGGTATTCAAACATGGCCCTTACGACATGATTCTGGGCAACATACGAGGTGTAAAAAGATTCCAGGTAGAACACAACACACATAGACACGCGCCAACCCCATGTCAACAATGCCCTGCAATAGAAAGCTACAATTCTCTCAAGTTAGTATGTACAGCACAACAGCAAACGATTTCCAGATTACAAAATGATATCACACAACTCATAGAACAGCTACAATGTAACCATCTACCCCATCGGTCTTAGCACATTAACCCCATGACCAAGCATTTGACCCGGAACGCCCCCACGAATGATTTTGAACAACGGACATAATAGTGAAGTAAAGTCGAGTTTTTTGTTTGTTAATCTAAGTAGTCGAGAAAATCGACGTGAAGTCGATATAGTTGAAGTCGAAGTCAGTGCAGTCAAATCCGAAGTCAATAGTGTTATTGAAGTCAGTGAAGTATAAGTCAGAACTGAAGTCAAAAAAGTTATTTGAAGTCAGTCAAGTCAGTCAATAAGTTGTTGAAGTCGTAATTGAGGTCATAGTGACGTAGTTGAAGTCATGTTGCAGTCAAAGAAAAGTCTTTGAAGTTATATTAAAGTCGTTGAGGTCATAGTGAAGAAGTGAAATCGTCGAAGTTAAGGTGAAGTCTTTGAAATCAAAGTGATGTCGTTGAAATCTTTGAAGTCAAAGTTAAAGTATTTGAAGTCGAAGTAAGGTTAATCTAAGTCAGTCGTTGAAGTCTTCGAAGTCATATTGAAGTCGTTGAAGTCAAAGTGAAGTCTTTGAAGTCATATTGAAGTCGTTGAAGTCAAGGAAAAGTCTTTGAAGTCAAAGTGAAGTCGTTTAAGCCTTTGAAATCAAAGTGAAGTTTTTTTTTTAAAGTCAAGGTGAAGTCGTCGAACTTTAAGTCAGTCAGTGAAGTCTATTAAGTTAAAGAGAAGTCGAAGTCAGTCAGAGAGGTCTAATTAAGTCAGTCGTCAGAGGAAATCAGTCGTAATTTGAAGTCAGTCGAAGCCAGTCAGAGGTCTATGAAGTCAGTCGATTTAGTTGTCGCAGTGGAGTTAGTCGTCAAAGAGAATTTAGTCGTCAAAGAAATTAGTCGTTAAGTGAAGTCGAAGTCGGTCAGTGATGTTTATGAAGTCAGTGAAGTGTCGTCAAGGTGAAATTAGTCATCATAGTGAAGTCAGTGAAGTTACTGAAGTCCAAAGTGAAGTCAGTCGATAATTTGAAGTCAGTTGAGTTACTGAAGTCAAAGTGAAATAACCGAAGTTACTGAAGTCAGTTAAAGTGAAATTAGTCAAGCTACTGAAGTCAAAAGTGACGTCAGTTAATTATTCAAGCCAGCCAGTTAAGTCAAGTCAGAAGTCACATAGTGAGAGCTGCTCCACTATATGATAACGTGTTCAAATGTTGATTTGAAATGGCACAATATTATTGATATACACTTACATGTCTATTCTTTTTGTGAAGCTATTTCTAAGCTCTAGTAGTGTTTACGTCTATTGAGTTTATTAGGCTTTACAGATTGTTGTTAGATTAGAGTGTACTGATTTTTTTTATTTGGTTATGTTGTAATGTTATTTTTGTATGCTGTATCTACCGCCAGACAAATGTTCAGCACGTTAAATTTGGGATTGAGGTTTTTTTAAATGGAAGGTTCCTCTGTCTGAATACTTGTCTGCGCGGGCACTTAAATGTTCACGTAAAGCCATTGCTCATGGTCTCGTAATACAATTTTCAGACCACCAACACTCACAGAGAATGAGACGAGATGAAGCAGACACTTCAAAGAATGCCGCCACCTGAAGCCCATGATCACGTTGAGTTACCTGGACAGCGAACAGCCTGCTGGACGTGAATAGCCCTGGTCAAGACAGCGAACGCATCGCCACCACTTCGCCCCACCCTGTGGTTGAATAACAGACCGCCAGCTCCGTACATCTAAGTCGGCAGATACAAAGGGTAGAAGACCCATCGTCCAAGTTCCCAGCGTCGGAATGTTGCGTCATTGTTCGCCACCGCATCAGACGGCTCCAGTTCATCGTATAACCACTCTACGTGGACGTCTCAACCAGCGTTGAGATGAGATTGTTGCGTCATCACATTGACCAACGAAAGTTACGCCTACACCCGCCTCACGGGAATTTACATCAAACTCGCTACAACCCACCCACCACAGAGGAACGCCACAATTACATAACACGTACACATACACTTACACTGCTCGCAGAGCCCGTTCAACCAGTTACACATTCTACTAAGATTGGCTCAAGGCCAGTACACGACAACCTAGCCAGAACTGAGTTTCACATGATTGAATTCACACATACCATGAAACATAGACATACATTATCAAGCAGAAACACCCAACGTCAAGATACTTACACGAGAACTAGAACAATGGCATTTTTTTTTCAGGAACACAGACACAAGATTTTATGTTTTTGTAAACTGTGCTGTCCCATTTTGTATTTGATTTACATGATTGATGTTAGGGATAGAATAGAGTAGTAAGATAGATAGTTGTTGATGTATTAGATTAGTAGTAGACGCTGAAAAATATAATTTGTCAGCTACAGAAAGGGAGGGAGATATGTGATGACGCAAAATTACGTCAGACATGTTTAGCAGATATAGGTTAGCAGAAACAGACTATAGGCTTAGTTGGTTAGTTGGAGAGGCCAATGGGAATACGGCAAATGACCGGTCACGTGAGACGGTCAGCTGACCACTGAAGCGTGGGCTGCTGTTAGGCCGGCAGTGGATAGGTAGCTAGCGAGGAGAGAAGGTGTTAGGTTGTAGAATGGAGCAGACGTAGTGATGTAGAGAACAGAAAGTTAGTGTTAGGATTGGTCATGGGAGTGCGTAGTTAGTAGTATAGTGAACAGTTAGCAGTAGTAGTAGTAGTAAACAGTAGAGAGTATAGAATAGGCTAGTAGGAAGAACTTGATTCTATAATTTTAATAAAGAATATTTTTCATTTCTATACTTGAACTTGTGTTATTGGATTCATTCGTTCCGCCTTCTTAAAAATCCCCACCCTCACACTTACCATGTATTAAGATTCGAGGGATGTTTCCTTGATTATGAAAACTGGCCAGGTCTTATTTGTATCCTTTTGTTTTTTGCTTGTAAAATACATTTTTTGTGAAGTAGGATGAAGTTAAATAAATGCATTAACTGGGTGTTTACCAAGTTTTATTTTTAGTGTAAAATTAATGTTGTATTTGTTTAGATGTTAATTAGTTTTGCTCAGGTCTATTAGATTCCTTTGTCACCACGCAAAGGTGCACGGATTTGAGAGAATAATGTTCAATACCATCTTACCATGTCTCTCTTTTAATCGGTTAACAAAAACAACCCTCCCCTTACATTTTGGTGTCAGAAGTGGGATCGCAGATGATCCCTCTTTCTCGAACAACTAAATCCCCCTAACATCTATAATAATAGTTTCGCTGTCTGTCTGACAAGAACGCTCTGTCTGACAAGAACGCTCTGTCTGACAAGAACGCTCTAGAGAAAACACAAGCAAATTAAAAACATGCATAGTATTTCGAAAAACGAAGTATGACGTCGACACATTTAGCATAGAGTTGAAAATAATCTCAAGGCGGAAAGTGCACACAGTAATATAATGCACAGTAATATAATGACGTCATTGATTATCGCGTAAACATTTAATAAAAAGGAAATTTTGTCTAATCTAAATGGTTTGCGTGAAGAGTTTCTTGCATACAATTCTTCGGGTAGGGGCGAAGAACGTCTGAGCCCCCCCCCTCCCCAACTCAAAAGAAATTTCCTCATCGATACTCTATAATAAAATTACCGCCTAATTAATGTGTCTAATCTAAAAAGTGGTTTTCTTGCAATGGGACGGTAGACATGTTTTTTTGGGGGGGGGGGGGGGGGGGGGGGGTGGTGTGTGGGGGCGGGGGGGGTGGGGGGTGGGGGGTGGTGTGTGGGGGGTGGGTGGGTTGGTTTCAGTGTTTCTTTCAGACTTTTTCCTCCCCGGAGAGGGGTGGGGGGTACTTGAAATTTTCGGGGGCGGGGGTAGAATTTTCTGGGAGGGGGCGGACACTGGAAAAAGTATATAATTATATTTCGTTGAATGGGACGGTAGACATGTTTTTTTTGGGGGTGGGGGGTGGTGGAGGGGTGGGGGGGGTGGTGTGTGTGGGGTGGGGGGGGGGGGGGGTGGGGGTGGTGTGTGGGGGGGGTGGTGGGTGGGGGGTGGTTTGTGGGGGGTGGGTTGGTTTCAGTGTCTCTTTCAGACTTTTTCCTCCCCGGAGAGGGGTGGGGGTACTTGAAATTTTCGGGGGCGGGGGTAGAATTTTCTGGGAGGGGGCGGACACTGGAAAAAGTATATAATTATATTTCGTTGAATGGGACGGTAGACATGTTTTTTTTTGGGGGGGTGGGGGGTGGGGGGGAGGTCGGGGGTGGTGTGTGGGGGGGGTGGTGTGTGGGGGGTTGGGGGGTGGGTTGGTTTCAGTGTCTCTTTCAGACTTTTTCCTCCCCGGAGAGGGGTGGGGGTACTTGAAATTTTCGGGGGCGGGGGTAGAATTTTCTGGGAGGGGGCGGACACTGGAAAAAGTATATAATTATATTTCGTTGAATGGGACGGTAGACATGTTTTTTTTTTGGGGGGGGGGGGTGGGGGGGTGGGGGGGTGGGGGGGGCGGTGTGTGGAGGGGGGTGGTGTGTGGGGGTGAGGGGTGGGGGTGGGGGGTGGTGTGTGGTGGGGGGTGGGGGTGGGGGTGGTGTGTGGGGGTGGGGGGTGGGGTGGGGGTGGTGTTTGGGGGGGGTGGGTTGGTTTTAGTTTAGAGAAAAGAGACAGCACTATCAGCCTAGCGCCCGTTGTACCCTTCCTCAACGGGCCATTTTTCTCGTATTTATATATATATATATATAATTATAAACTAGCCGGCCAGGCACCAGAATTTTTTCCATGCATCTACCGCCCCCCCCCCCCCCCCATGACTTGTGTGTTGTGTTGAGCATATACCCGGCATAGCCCGGATTTAATATATATGTTACCTTTTTAATTAACCCTAACCACAAACAAAAACGCAAACATAACTTGAGTACTGTTTCACATAAACGAAATTTCACTTAAACGTAAAAGATCTAATTCTCTGCTTTCTTTCAAATTTTGAGTAATTTTCGTTGACCGGAAGTAGAACTTTACGCTATTTCCGATTTCTAAAAAAACGCATATGAATTAATGAAGTACTAGTTTTCCGCACTATTATTTAAATATTTTTTTCCGTTCACTTGCTGCGCAATTCTTTTCTCTTTTATGCACTCTTGGTATTTTAAAATCTTGAGGCGAGACCTAGAAACAAATAACCGCATTTTTTTTTTAATAATGGTAACCATGTTCACAAGAGAAAATTCAGTTCGAAAATTCACACCTCTCCCTGGCTAGCGAGATATCGAATAACAGTGAGAGAGAACATGTCTTACAAGCCATACACTCGGCAGCATTTGTAAAAGTAGTTACTATAAGTCCATAGTAACGATGAAAACAGTTCTAAAGAATACAAGACATCACTATAACATGACAACACAACTGCAAACAATGGATGGTTGCAATGTTTTTTTTATTGAATACAATGTTTGTATATACAGTTAGGTGTGTTTATATTCATAGTTATTAAATTTTAATGTTTTATTGACGTTAATATCTAAACTACAAATGATTGCATTTTATTATCTATTTTTATTATTGAATGCATTACAATTATTAATGTACGTTATTGTTTCTTTTGCTTTAATCAACAGACAGTTGTATAATGAATATAATTACAAAACAGTCTTATTTTAATAAAATATTTTATCCTGCGTACCAGATCGTGCACATTTGATGAAAGGAGAAAGTGGGAGGGGGTTATATTTATCATCATGTTATATTGTGTCATATGGAATATGGTTAAAATACTGCTGTTGTATAACACTGTCAGTAAGTTTAGTTGTTTTTATTTGTAAAAAAAAAAATAAAAAAAATCTGCTATAGGCCCATGAATCTACAATCATTGGATAATTAGGATGAAAAACGACGATTTTCTAAAAAATAATGTGATTCTTGTAATTCATTTATATGGTCACATAAATTGCAAAGCACTGAGTTTACATTTTGTTCGTGATGAGGCAAGGAGGGGGGGGGGGTTATGAACATATTTGTTCTGTAACGTCCTGTGGAGTATGGGGTAGGTTTCAAATGTCTTTTAGGCATGTTATGAAACATGTACACGCTACTATAGGGCTGGTAAATAGGTCACCAACCAGTTCTACAGCTCAATAAAACCTGCATGAGCCATAGAACTATTTATTGACCTACTTACCAGCCCTATACTTGTCAGCATGTCTAATACTTGTGTCAACAAAAACATTTTGTACGAGATCACTGCGAAGAATGATTTGATTAGTTTTTAAATCGACTTTCTCTGCAAAATCCAAGTAAGTTTATGTAACATCCGGGATCTCTTAGGTGACTTCAACTGTCCAACCAGCTTTATCTCCTATATCTTCTAATCCAACCAGCTTTATGTCCTACAACTTCTCATCCAACCAGCTTTATATCCTATAACTTTTCAATCAACCAGCTTTATGTCCTATAACTTCTCAATCAATCAGCTTTATATCCTATAACTTCTCATCCAGCCAACTTTATATCCTATTTCTTCTCAATCAACCAGCTTTATGTCCTATAACTTCTCAATCAACCAGCTTTATGTCCTATATCTTCTAATCCAACCAGCTTTATGCCCTATACTTTCTCATTTATGTCCTATATCTTCTCATACAACTAGCTTTATGTCCTATAACTTCTCATCCATTATGTCCGCATCCAGACAAGCGTACTGTTTGCTGGAATAGTTCCAGATTGATGTAATCTTTTTCCTTTTCCAGCAGAGTCTCGAACCTGCGACACAGGGCATCAAACGTTGGACGGTTCTCTGGGAGGAAGGACCAGCAGCTGCACATGAGCTCGTATCTGGGGACGGGGAGGGTTAGGGTTAGTTGGTTGGTTATGGGGGAGTTGGGGTGGCGTTGTATGTGGGATTGTGGGAGGTGAGTTGTAGGATTGTGTGGTGGTGGGATTTTGTGTGGGATTGTTGGAGTTAAGTTGTAGGATTGTGTGGGGGTAGGAGATTGTATGGGGGTGGGATTTATTGTGGGAGTTGAGTTGTGAATTGTTGGGATTATGTATGGGGGTGAGTTGTGTGGGATTGTGGGGGTGGGTTTGTGTATGGAATTGTGTGGGGTGGGATTTTGTGTGGGAGTTGAGTTGTGCGGGTTTGTATGGGGGTGGGATTTTGTGTAGGATTGTTGGAGTTGAGTTGTGTGGGGTTGTGAGTGGGTGGGATTATACATTGAGGTGAGTTATGTGGGGGGTGGGGGTTGTGTGGGATTTTTTGTGTGTGATTGTGTGGAACTTTTTTGTTGCTGTCGTAATTGATGTGGAATTGTCAAAATTTCTCTAGCTGAGTGGGTTTTTAGTTGTCAAAGTGGATGTGTGAGTGGGTGATTGTGTGGTTAGGATTAAAGTTATCTACATGACAGAACTGCAGTGCTGAGGTTTCTCCATTTTCTTGCCAGCACTAACAAACTTGAAGACGTCATGGGCAGACAACCCGGGGTAAGGACTGGCACCTGAAATCAATGATCAAACTCCTTTAGATCGATATTTTGTCAACTTGGGCTGGGGTGCGTGGGGTGGGTGTGGTACAAGAAAATAAAATATAGGCTGGACATTTGGAACAAAATAGGGCTGGTAAGTAGGTCACCAACCAGTTCTACAGCTCATTAAAACCTGCATGAGTCATATAACTGGTTGGTGACCTACTTACCAGCCTTATTGCCAGGTTCACCCAGTATCTTTTACATCACAGGTACTGTTTATTTTATCTTGAAGGCTGATCTATTCAGACCCATCACGGTATCCCGTGTATTAATATAATAGTATTAATGTACACATTTTGTGAAGCCCTTTTTCATGACACAATGTTGTAGGAAGCTAATGCTATTTTGTTGTATTTGTTTGCTATCTAGAAAGTTCGCTCCGACCCCATCTATCAACACAAAAGTGTATAGTTTGCAATCAGACTGTTGGTTGCAAGACATTCAAGGTGAAGGTTACATGCGCCTGCTTAATGAATTTGCCGAGATTTACAATCTACACACCCCCCCCCCCCTCCAAACCCATACACTAGCCCCTCCTACCAAACTAAAGTAAAACAATAGACTCACCCAAAGATAGTCCCCCCCCCCCCTCCAACACCGTAAAGTACACTGTTGTGAACACACGGACATGCCATTCGGGAGATCCGATGCGTAGCACAACACATAAGACAAACAACCACAAACGGGTTACAAAACAAGACTGAAACAAAGGCTCGTTGAAACTAAAAGAATGTATATACACTATCTACACCTTACAGTCTAGTTTAAACAGAAAATACACAAGCTAGTAAACTAAGATACAGTGGCTAAAAACTAGTATAAACCTAACCTGTACTAACCTTGGAGATCTGGACAAAACTGAGACGATCACACACGTTTTCATACACCTTACATACCCTTTCATAAACTGGTACAAACCGGAATATTACAACTCACAACACGAGAACTGAACAAGGACGAACGGGATAGGGTACCAAGTAACAACAACATTCACCCCCTTCACTACATACACCCCCCAACCCCGCCCCGCCCCCCTACTAATGTAAACCTATGAACTCACCTAGCGTTACAATCTCCCACAGAAGAATGCCGTAGGCCCAAACATCAGATTTGGTGCTGTGTGTTCTGTCGATCAAACTTTCTGGTGCCAACCATCTAACCGGCAGTGGGCCCTGTGAAGTTTAGAAAAACACTTGTTTTAAACTAGATTTATCATTCACCTACCACTTCTGTTATAATCTACTTCACCTACGCCGCTTTAACGGTAACGGGTTCGAATCTAAAACGAAGTATGAAAATTAATGCTTGAAACGAATAAAACACAGTTGGAAGATTCTACAAAGGAATCAATGTCCTAATAATGTAAGCCATAGCAAGATGAATCAACATTGGGATTTGCCACCAACTAGCAATAAAGAAAGTAAAAAATACTTTCTTTAGACGTAGCGATCCATTGTGTAGATGAACTAGGGTTCACGTTTCTTGACTTCGGCATATGAAGGGATGGCGTGGTCAACACTATGCCCAACGTATTGTCTGGTACCCATCAGAGCTTGGTGGATTAATCAAAACCAGGACCGAACTCGAGACTTTGGGGCTGGCCTCCAACGCTCTACCATTCGACCACGTCGTCCCACACAAACTCACAATAGGATGCATTGAAACATAATATTTAGTTTAAATATTCTAACCAAATGCTAAAGCCACCAAATTGACATATGCTTGTTTTCTACAGATAAAACAATTATTTTCTGGCCAAATTATGTGGCAACTGAATTGGACCAATGTTGGAGTTTCTTCCCAGACTTTAAGTAAAACAAGTTAAAAAACCGACGATTAAATTATAATGAAACTAATGAAGTTAATTAACCTTCAACTTCAACGAATAACTGAAAGTATACAGGACACCGTGACGCTAAGTTAACCGGCTAGCCTGACAGTTATGTTGATTTCACAGGACACCGTGACGCTAAGTTAACCGGCTATTCTGACAGGTGTGTTGATTTCACAGGACGCCGTGACGCTAAGTTAACCGGCTATTCTGACAGGTGTGTTGATTTCACAGGACACCGTGACGCTAAGTTAACCGGCTTGCCTGACAGTTATGTTGATATGGACATTTGTTGGACATTTTGGGGAGGTGGATGGACATTATTCGAACCATTGAGGGATGGGAGGTGGACATTGCATGGACATTGGGGGAGTTTTGGAAAATTTGCTTTGGTATTTATGTGGAAATGGACATTGTATGTACATCTTAGTGGTTCTAAAGAAAAGAAAAACTTTTAAAAGTTATATGACTTCAATGAAGTGTGTTCTTTTTTTCTTCAAGGTGGAACTATATACCAGGAAAAAACGAAACAAAACTTGTTCTTCCTGAAATCCATGACTATCAACATTACAGATATAGATACAAGATGGGCTTTTTTAGATTTGAGATATTTAGATATTTGAACGCTTTAATTTTTAAAACAACAAAATGTTATTTTTAAGGGCGAAATTCATCCCCGATGTCTTAGTCAATGGTGTCGTGGCATAACTTTCAGCCTTTCGTTGTTTCAAAATCCTTTTTTTTTTTCTATCTAAAAGGTTTTTGTAAGTTTTTTTTCCTACAAGCTCTAATAAATTTTGTACGGTATTTAGACCATAGCTAAACTATGCGGAGACAATCTAAAATTCCGTAGTTTAGATTTACCCAAACAAAAATGGCAGATGTTATAGTTATAGACGTGGAAGATGAAAATATTTTAACTGGTATCTTTAAAGATTCCTTTCCAGGTAAATATACATTTACAGTATATGTTAAGACACTAAAAAAGAACGTAGTCACAATTCTTTATATAAATATAGCCTATCATAGTATAATCATAGGCAACATAGGCCTAAGCAATAAAAAATAAAATAATTGCCATTGGGCCTTCCCTACATAATACTACATATACATTAGGTTTTTTGATGAGAATTACAGAATGATTTTTTTTATTAAAAATGTATCAATAATAGCTAGAGCACTAGTAAACTAAGCTAATTTAGCATATTTTAACTTTCTGTGCAAAGTCATTATTACTGAAAAAAATTCCAAAGTCAGGTCAGCCTGTGGCACCCTCCACTGAACTTGACAGAAGGAAAAAAAACTTGACCTGTGACCCTCATTAAAACAGAATTTGCTTTTGTTTTATTTTTTATTTTTAGTAAACATGTGCTTTATCTTACCCAATAAGTGATAAAAATTTGAAAATTAATTTTAATTACTGTTGTAAAGTGAGATAAACAGCTTAATAAACACGTGTTTTCTTGAGGGGGTGTGACCCGGGTGTGTCACATCGCAATTGGAACTTTATATTTCTGTGTTTTATGACTATATTTGTTTACAATTAGCATGCTACGCTTTTAAAATTGGTAAAGGGTAAGTATACCAAGTTACAAAATCTGCAATCTAACTAATAATTCATACTTTCAGTTTAAAAAATAATAAAAACGATCATCAACGAAGAAAGCATAAACATTCTATTTTTAGGTGTGACATAAAAAAACAGTCATAAATCTAGCCAAATGATTGGATTCTTGCGCGGCACACATTTTCCCGCGCCTCGTTTTCACCAAACAAGATTATAATAAAATGGCATTATTGGGGGTGATCGTTTTCCCACGAACATATCTCATAAACCCAAGAAATTATTACCAGTTAATTGTAATGTGTGTTAAATTAATAGTTTAAAGTTTTCAAGTAACATAGGCTGGGTTCCAAGGAATGCGATATTTCAGAGTTATTTGATTTAAAAGACCAGAATACATAGAGCTATTTTCACTTACGCGCCGCTTGCGAGACAAAGAAATTAGGTCGAAAGTACATCTGGGAATTCTTAAATAACAGACTGAAATAGAAACGGATAGTTCCGTTTTCTAAAATTAACGATGGCATCGTAATCAATAGTTTTATCCCTCTACCGTTTAGAGAAAGCGAAACTGGTCGCCATTTTAGTAAGCGCATGAGCCGTGAGATGCCACGAAAATGACAAACCCGGAAGTGTTGAATCGAACGGCCTACCCTACATTTATTCTGTGGCTTATTCTACTTTAAACTTTTCAAAAGCCTATAACTTGAGTTCTGTTTCAGATAGACAAATAAAATTTCATATGTAAGTAAAAGATCTAATTCTCCACCTTCTTTCAAATTTAGAGTAATTTCCGTTGACCAGAAGTAGTAATGGACGCTATTTCCAATTTCTCAAAAATGCATGTGAATATATAAAGTACTAATAATATTCCGCACTATTATACACATTTTGTTTCGCGTTTCCTTGGTGCGCAATTCTTTTTTATACAAGATTCTATTCTATTTTTAAAAGTTTAAGTACTTAAACATGGATTTAAAAATCATGTCTATATATAGTATATCCCGAGTTGCCAATCCCCCGTAGTGTTATATAAGAATATTCGAGAAAGCTTTGGGGAGATCACAACTGGCTTTTTAACATTACTAGCCTCTGCAGATTTTATGCACATAAAACCATAGATTACCTTAGTCTGTTAATTAAGAATAGTAAAGTGTACTTTTGACCCAATTTCTTTATTTATCTCGCAAGCGACACTTTAGTGAAAGTAGCTTTGTATATTCTTGTTTTAAAATGATCTTACGATCAAATAAACGTCTAAACTATGATTCTAATGTTATGCCGTGTATGATTAAACAACGGTTTGGGAATAATTCTCATGTCCTTAGGTGTGGTCGCTATGAAGTCATATACCCCCCCCCCTCTCCATTAATGCCATTTTATTATAATCTTGTGAAAAACAAGGCGCGTTTAGATGTGTGCTGCGCCCAAAGCCAATCATTTGGCCAGATTTATTATTTGTCATGTCGCCCCATATTTTAAAAACATAAAGCGTTGCGCTTTCCTTATTAATGATTGTTTTTTTTTTTTTCATTTTATTAAGTGAAAATATGAATTGTTATGATTGCAGTTTTTGTAACATGGTATACTTACCTTCTGTCAATTTAAAAAGCATGGCATGTTAATTTTGTACAAATATTGTATAAAACAAAAAAAATTTAAGTTTGATTTTATTTTCTACCATAATCCGCCACTCTTAGGCATATACAATACATTAATTATTTTATTTTTAAAATTGTTTATTGATTGTGTTAACTTTAAGCTATCTATATTCATTTCTAAGATATTTTAATATGCTTCTGAGAAGTTTTATTGAAAAAACTTTGTTTTGACTATAGTTACTAGATCTATATAATCACCACTTTAACATTTAAATATCTAATCCTCAGTTCATTTATAAGAAGCAGCATGGGAGAGGCAACTGCTGATTTAGATTTACAGTCTGATGAGTTTAAAGAATTTTCAAATTCTGAAGATGTGAAGCCACTTCTATCTACAGTATTTTCATCTTCTTCTGACATAAAAACAGAATTATCATTTTTAACTTTCCGTGATATCAAACCAAACTTGACATTTATAGCTTCACAGGATGATAAAACCGCTGTTATGCCAGATTTTTCATCTTCTACAGACACAAAGTCAGAATGTACAACATTTTCCTCTTTTGATGATGTAAAACACCATATGACATTTCTAACTTCTCAAGATAAAACAACAGGATTTTTAATTTTTAAAGATATGGAACCTGCTGTATCAGCAGTATGTACAAAATCTGAAGATTTAAAACCAGAATTAGCAATTTTATCAACTAGTGAAGATATAAAACCAGAATTAGAAACTTTATCAACCATCACAGAATTAGAAATTTTATCAACTACTGAAGATATAAAACCAGAATTAGAATATATATTAACTAGTGAAGATCTAAAACGAGAATTAGAAACTTTATCAACTAGCGAAGATATAATCCCAGAATTAGAAACTTTATCAACCAACAAAGATATAAAACCAGATTTATGGACAAAATTTTTAGATTCTGAGGACAAACAACAAAATGGACTAGAAGAAAAGTTAAAACTCGCTGAAGACAAAACATATCTCTCTGATGATCGTCATGATCATCATGAACAGTTTTTTCAAAGATCTAACTTGAATAAACAAGCTCAAGTAGGGGAGAAGCCACTTGAATGTGATGCTTGCCATAAAAGGTTTTCAGATAGTTCTAGGTTAAATGAACATAAAAAAGTTCATTCAGGAGATAAGCCTCATGAATGTGATGTTTGTCATAAAAAGTTTTCTCAGAGTTCTAATTTATATAAACACAAACAAGTTCATTTAGAAGATAAACCATTTGAATGTGATGTTTGTCATAAAAAGTTTTCATATAGTTCTAGTTTATATACACACAAACAAGCTCATTCAGAAGATAAACCATTTGAATGTGATGTTTGTCATAAAACGTTTTCATATAGTTCTAGTTTATATACACACAAACAAGTTCATTCAGAAGATAAACCATTTGAATGTGATGTTTGTCATAAAAAGTTTTCTCTGAGTTCTAGTTTATATAAACACAAAAGAGTTCATTCAGGAGATAAACCATTTGAATGTGATGTTTGTCATAAAAAGTTTTCTCTGAGTTCTAGTTTATATAAACACAAAAGAGTTCATTCAGGAGATAAACCATTTGAATGTGATGTTTGTCAAAAAAAGTTTTCTCAGAGTTCTCATTTATATACACACAAAAGAGTTCATTCAGAAGATAAACAATTTGAATGTGATGTTTGTCATAAAAAGTTTTCTCAGAGTTTTAGTTTATATAGACACAAAAGAGTTCATTCAGAAAATGAACCATTTGAATGTGATGTTTGTCATAAAAAGTTTTCACATAGTGCTAATTTATATGCACACAAACAAGTTCATTCAGAAGATAAACAATTTGAATGTGATGTTTGTCATAAAAAGTTTTCTCAGAGTTCTAGTTTATATAGACACAAAAGAGTTCATTCAGAAAATAAACCATTTGAATGTGATTTTTGTCATAAAAAGTTTTCATATAGTTCTAGTTTATATACACACAAACAAGTTCATTCAGAAGATAAACCATTTGAATGTGATTATTGCCATAAATATTTTTCTAGAAAAAATAAAACAGTTCATACTGGAGATAAGGCAGATGAATGTGATGATTGCCATAAATATGTTTCTAAAATAAAGCGGCTCCCGACATATTGGCTCCCGATATAAGTGCTCAAGACAAATCGGCTCACGTTATATTGGCTTTTGACAAAATGACTCCCGACATATTGGCTCCAGACCAATGAATGGCATGACCACTATTGGCATAAAAGTAACGATTTTGTCCTACCTCCAATACCACTATATACTCTTTTAAATGCCCGAATGAAATTGTTTTTCATGAACCAACATTAATTCACAAACAAAGCGAGCACTTAACAGCTAAATTTCACCAATTCTAAAGTTTTGATAATGTTTAATTTACAACAGAAAAGATCTGTTGCTTAAAAGCGAGCACAGAAGTGTAAATGTACGGATATGTATATATATGTATATTTATGTATATATATATGTATATATATATATATATATGTATATATATGTGTGTATATATGTTGGCTGGTATCCTAATGTTGGCTGGTTATTGAATAGTTGTCACAGGTTGCTTGTTTTTTGTGTGTAGTTATATTCGTGGTTGGTCGTAGCTGGATCGGGGTAATGTTCTCCCCTCCCCTTCTCCCAAGACGCCGCACGGTTCTCACGGCACTGGGTTCTGGCAGGGTGTGACGGTGTCACGGATAATTTACGAGGTTCACAGTCGTGGATTGTGACCGGACCCTAGGTGTGTGCATGCTTTGTGTTCAATTTTATGTCCTGTCTCCCCAATGGTCGTCTGCTTAAATTTACGACCGTAAGGTCGCGACGGTCAGTTCTTGTCAAACAGGTGGTCGGAAAGTATGGGAAAAAGTTTGTTTGGATTCAGCCTATTTAAGAGGACTGTGTTCAGACCTCTGTCTCTTACACACCAAGCTAGGGCTATAGACCAGTCTAGGCCTTATGATGGCAGCAGAGGCTGGTTTAGTGGCCCAGCTGAGGTATTGTTGATATGGTCTGGTGTTTACACCAGCGGCCCAACACCTTGTTCCAGTGGCCCGATATTATGCTCGTGGCCAGATGTCTCGTTCTTGTGGCCCGATATTATGCTCGTGGCCTGATGTCTCGTTCTTGTGGCCCGATATTATGCTCATGGCCTGATGTCTCGTTCTTGTGGCCCGATATTAAGCTCGTTGCCTGATGTCTCGTTCTTGTGGCCCGATATTATGCTCGTTGCCTGATGTCTCGATCCAGTGGCCAAATGTCTCGCTCTGGGGCCAGATGTTTGTTTTGGAGGACGGATATGTTGTCCTTGTGGCTGGGGAATCACCCTGCCTTTTGTGTGTGACGAACTGGGTCGTGTAAGGAACTCGTATACATTCATGAAAGGATAAAATTGTGGTTGTATCTAAAAATGTAAGTGATTTATTTTTTTTAATTTTTACATGTATTAAGAATTCGAGGGATGTTTCTTTTATTATGAAAACCGGCCAGGTCTTTTTTGTATCCTTTTGATTTTGCTTGTAAAATACATTTTTGTGAAGTAGGATGAAGTTAAATAAATGCATTAACTGGGTGTTTACCAAGTTTTATTTTTAGTGTAAAATTAATGTTGTATTTGTTTAGATGTTAATTAGTTTTGCTCAGGTCTATTAGACTCCTTTGTCACCACGCAAACGTGCACGGATTTGAGAGAATAATGGTCAATACCATCTTACCATGTATTAAGAATTCGAGGGATGTTTCCTTGATTATGAAAACTGGCCAGGCCTTATTTGTATCCTTTTGTTTTTTGCTTGCAAAATACATTTTTTGTGAAGTAGGATGAAGTTAAATAAATGCATTAACTGGGTGTTTACCAAGTTTTATTTTTAGTGTAAAATTAATGTATTTGTTTAGATGTTAATTAGTTTTGCTCAGGTCTATTAGACTCCTTTGTCACCACGCAAAGGTGCACGAATTTGAGAGAATAATGGTCAATACCATCTTACCATGTATTAAGATTCGAGGGATGTTTCCTTGATTATGAAAACTGGCCAGGTCTTATTTGTTTCCTTTTGTTTTTTGCTTGTAAAATACATTTTTTGTGAAGTAGGATGAAGTTAAATAAATGCATTAACTGGGTGTTTACCAAGTTTTATTTTTAGTGTAAAATTAATATTGTATTTGTTTAGATGTTAATTAGTTTTTCTCAGGTCTATTAGACTCCTTTGTCACCACGCAAAGGTGCACGGATTTGAGAGAATAATGGTCTATACCATCTTACCATGTCTCTCTTTTAATCGGTTAACAAAAACAACCCTCCCCTTACAGTTTGGTGTCAGAAGTGCGATCGCAGATGATCCCTCTTTCTCGAACTAAATCCCCCTAACATATATATATATATATATATATATATATATATATATATATATATATATATATATATATATATATATATATATATATATATATATATATATATATATATATATATATATATATATATATATATATATATATATATATATATATATATATATATAAATAATTATAAACTAGCCGGCCAGGCACCAGAATTTTTTCTATGCATCTACCGCCCCCTCTCCCCCAATGACTATCAGTATCTTGTTAAGGACGATAACTATCAGTGATAGTATTTTAAAGCAAATATTTTCAGTGGCAGCATTGGTACAGTCGACTTCTCAAATTATGAATTACTGAGAAGTAGCTTTTTTTTTGTTTTTAAGAATGTAGCAAAACTGTTTAATAAATTAAATAATACATTTCCAAAATGAAAGATTAACATCTTGTACATGCAGATCTAGGTGATGATTAGCGAAGAGAAAATGTGGTACAAAAACATATCATGACTTAATTTGCTGTTTCTTTTTAATGCCCGCCAGAAGATATCAAAGAATGTAAGCTTCTTGTCAACATTATTATCAGCTTCATTCTTGATATATGAATACAGATTTTTAAAATAAATTAAACACTAATTATAAATTAAAAGATTTGTTATTAAGTTTCAAACAGAATGTTGAGTAAAAGTTTTAACCTAATAATAGGAACAATCTTTGAAAAATGTCCTACAAGTCTATAGTTTAAATAAAGCTGGACATTAATTTCACACAAAAACAGCTTCAATAACATGTCTGTATAACTGAATCTATGAATAGAAATACAATATCCCATTTAAATGTCTGGAAATCTTATTGGAGCAACTACTTGTACTCAGCAACAACTAATGCCGTTGTGTCATTTATTAGCTTTGTAAATTATTTAAGAAACTGAGATTTTTTTTGTTTTATCATTGAAAAGTACAATTATCTGTTCAAAAAAAATGGTGAGTTTACAATTGAAAATTCAGATCTTATATAAATATGCATTACTTGTGGAGCTATTGCTGCTAAACTCAAATTATTACAAACCAAACGAAACTCATTAAACACTTTAATCGCTGCAGTAAAATGATAATATTTACTGGTCGTCAAAACATACTGACCAAAATGCAAAACATATTTTTTCTATTAAGCGTATTAACTTAAGCAAATTAAATAAATAAAAACAATACACAACATAATTGACAGTAACAGCTTATAAAAGTAGGCTTATAAATCTGAGTGCGAAATATCTGTGTTACTATAAATATTTTAAACAAAGTGGGTTTCTAAGCGCCACTAAAACTCTTTAATTTTAAATGTTGCAGTTGGGAATACACTCCAATAAAAAGAATGTATTTTGTATTTGAACATTATATGCTTTTCATATAGTTCTTCCATAATATTTAACTGGCAGAATCATATATATATATATATATATATATATATATATATATATATATATATATATATATATATATACACACATATATATATATATAATATGACTAAATGTAGCTGCTGTCATACAAGTTTGGCCAATTCCATCTGATTCTTTATTTGTTTCATTGTACTCAATAATTCCTTGAATTTTGTTATGGTAATTTCCACTGGTCTGTTGACTGCATTTCCACTCTCTTCAGTGGTCACCAACATCATTGTTACCATTGGTTCATTTAAGCTTCTAACATCATTACTGCTAACTACCATACTGACTTTCCACTTGATATCAACATCTGTGACCTGAGCAACATATTCTGTTCCTGGCATAGTTTTGTATTTTCTTTAAAAAATAGTTAAGCTGTTCTGTTTGGTAGATAGGGCAATAACAAGACAATGAATGTGCCAGTAGGGAAGATCTTAGAATTTTTTAAGATCTATTCTGTAACTCAACATCAACCAGTTATCATGAGTTATCTAGCCTGAACCTGGCCAGTACCAGAAAATCTAGTCTGCTAAACTGCTGGTACTGGTCTTGCCAGAGTCCAGATCTAGATTCTAGTAATAGTTGAACAGGCCGAATTAAAAAGAGCTAAGATTAAAAATCTAATTAGCTTATAAAACATCTTTTTTTTTTTTTTTTTTTATGTGACTAAAAACAAAGGATTTTAATCAAGTTTCCAGATACAATGCATTCAATGCCACCAAACCTAGTCATATAAATAAACATCTTAATGAATAAGTGAACTCCGAATAACAATGAGATACAAGTGTATATAGATGAAAAAACCCATGTGTGCAAGTCAGTATAACTAGAGGTACAAACAGATGCTCACAATATTTAGCTTCAACTAAATTACTAACAATGCCTTGGTCTCCACCTCTTCAGTTATGGCAGGAGTAATTTTATTTTTTACCTAACAATTCACTAAAACTAAAATGATATACCAATCAATTATTCGGCTATCACAGAGACTTATCTACACATTATCACATACTATTAACAATCAAATTCAGGCTAATAAATATCTTACCTGCAAATAGATATACCTAACTTTCTAAAAAAAAACATGCCTAGAAGGAAACAAATTATGTAATGTTGAAAAATAAATGCAGAAGAGTAGATGTTTAAACAAATTGTATCTGCAGGATAAATTAAAAGCATGAGCTGTCTGTGTCAATAATTAAATAAACATTAAGAATTCTACCCTTTACATAAAATATACAGATAAAGGTACAGAAGACTAAATTTACAGCTTAACATTCTCATGAAGTTGCACTTCTATCCTAAAGAGACTTTGTTGAATAGCGTCCATAGCTTTAGCACGGTTTTGTTTCAGCATGACATCAAACTCTTTAAACTTTTTAGTTGTTTCTACCTGAATCTGTGCCTCACTGTTACTTTTTTTGCCAAGGATCTCTTGTTCATACTGTTTGTAGTGATTCTCCTTCTCGTTTTTAAAGGCTAGGATTTCTGAATCTGCTTCCTTTTTTGCAGTTTTGATTCTCTGAGCTTTTCGTTTTCTTGCTTCGACTACTCTTTCTGATGCTTTTTTCTCTGCGATTAGAAGTTGCTGAATCCCTTCTGTTTTCTGGGCCATTTTGACTTTGTAATTAAGATAAAATTCTGAAAGAGTATCACTTAGGGTTTTTATAAAACATTTTTTTTTAATAAAACATCTAAACGAACACTTTAAAAGAACGCTCAACATCTCTTTAATACTGGCTGTTTTATTTAGGCTCCTATACATTTTCCATATTTA